TCGGCCCATCGGCCCACCTGCCCACCCGCCCACAGTTTCTTCATGGGGACCTCACGCAGTAGTGGTAGCAGATGATCACTTCCCTCACTTCCTCCCATATGATGTTACCGCCGCCGCCTCTGGCTCCCCTTACCCCTCAACCACTCTCCCCTAACCTGTCCTCGCCCATACCCGCATGTACTGCTGCCGTACATGCCGTACAATTCAGCCTCACGGTCGTACAGAGCGCTTCCCTCCCGGTCTGGAGCACCAACTCGCCTCGTGAGTTCTGGGGGGGGGAAATGGGGGGAGGGGAGGGGGGGGAGGGGAGGATACGGATACACGTGCGTTGCGTGTGTGTGTGTGTGTGTGTGTTTATGATCTGAGCCCTGGGGAATGACTTCATGCCAAAGCGACAGCTCCGTGGTTTAGCGATTTGTAGGTTGACGCGGTTGACTGGCGGCTAGGGCTGAGTACACTACAGGCAGCGAGAGCACATGGAGTCCTTCTGTCAGTCTGTCAGTCTGTCGTAGGCAAAGTGGAACCTGAAATCTAGGGCACACAGGTAGCGGCTGGGGATGTGGATGTAGCTGCTGACGTCAGTTTGTCAGTCTGTCAGTTGGGTGAGCTCCCTCAGTGTGTGGGAAGGTGGGGTCGTTACGGTGCAGTCAGTGCAGTCTGGGGGTGGTCGTAGTCGTAGTCGTCACCCACTACACTACCATCAATTTGAGGACCGACCTCGTGCGGGGCCCCACTCCAGGGAAGGGGCGAGGATACACTGAAACACATACCGTACTGAAATATCTAAGCCAGTATTTTATTACTCTGCTTGCCATAACTGCCGTACTTGCCATAACTGCAATAACTGCCGTACAGATACCTTCGGCGGGTACTCGTACGGCTGGTTGGGAATGACGTACTGAGGGTCGCGGTCAGCGAAGCCATCGGCGTCAGGCCGGCGCCGGAAGCCGCCGCCGCCGCCGCCGTCAGTGACACCACCGCGGCTCCGGAACCCGCTGCGGACATCGACGGCGGTGATGGCGGCGGCGGTGTTGTGGCTAGTCGGCCAGCTGCTGCTGCTACTGCTACTGCGGCTGCTACTGCTACTGCTGTTCGGGATGGCGGAAAGCCATCTAGAGCTTCTAGGATTATCGTCAAGCTGCTCGCGACGATGCTGGGTGGGTTGATGAAGCGATTGGTGACCCACGGGTCACAGGGGTCTGCAGCAGCAGCAGATACTGGCGGCGCTGGCAACAACGGTGATGGTGATGGTGGTGATGACGACGGTACGGCAGCAGGTATCACCCTTAACGGCGGTCGGAACGGCGGCATCGCAGCTGCGCGGGCGGCTGCGATTTCGTTCGTACTGGCGGCCCTCCTCAGTAAATTGCAGCAAGGTAGGTGGCAAGGTGGTTGGGTATATCCGTCCCCGTACACTCAGGTATCCGTACATGACACCTGACATGTACGAGCTGCAATTTATACGCGAAATTCTTTGGAAGTTTGCCCGTGCCGTTGAGGCAGCAAGCTTGGATCCATTTCGGATCCATTTTGGATGGATCCAAGGGTAGTACAAAACTACCCTGTCACTGGTTCAGTTTTTGGATTCAGCATGTCGGGGGCTGCGCTGTGCTTGGGAGGGCCTAGCGGGGCACGTCATGTGTGTGTGTGTGTGTGTGTGGAACCAAGCGGCTGTGTCACCGCTCTGATCCCGCAAATGGGCGTTTCTCTCTTTCCCCCTGCAAAGGGAGGAGAGATGATACCCTTTCACAACAACAACAACCACACAATCAACAATCAACAAAGACGAAGTAAAGTGAACAAAGTCCGCGTCTGTCCACATTCCTCCCAACCCCAAGTCCTGTCTGACTGTTGATTCCCCCTTCCCTTTCTCTCTCTCTCTCTCTCTGTGTTATCTCCTCTTCACACCGCTATCCGGACATGAACACAGCCAATGGCGCTGCCCCCAGCGGTGGCGGGAGTGGAGGTGGAGGTGGAAGTGGCGGGAGTGGAGGTGGGGGTCTGGCCCCCAACTGTACGGCTCCCACAGTGCTGCGCTTCCTAATCGTCGCGACAGCCCGTCAGGGCTTCACATTTCCGGAACTGTCAGCCACCATCACCGGCGGCCCCGAGACCCCCGCCACCGCCGCCGCCACTCAGGCACCCTCCCAGCCACAACTACCAACTGTCGAGCACAGTACCCTAACCTCCACCAACACCCCTCGTGCAACTAACAACGACCCGTTTCTACGACGATCTCTGGATCCCGGATACCTCCGGGCGCTGCCGGCGGGGTACGCGCGAGCCTGGGGTGATACGTCGTACAGTCGTACTGGTAGCGGCAGCTTGCTTGAGGGTCGTACTCCGGCGCCGCTGGTGTACAGGTCCCTGCCCCACCGCGCCAACCCCTCCGCCACCGCCGCCAAGGCCGGGAGTCCGCGGGAAACCTTGCCGCCATGGCCGCTGCAGCGTGCATTCGTACACCCACATCCGGCGTCACCATCATCTATGTCGTACACAGCGGCGGCGGCGGCGGCGCCACTGACGTCGTACGGGCGGCTGGTGGTGGAGCTGCCGGGCAGCCCGTCAGGTGCACCGTCGTCGCCAGGGCAGTACGGCTTCCGGTCCGCCGCCGCCGCCACCGCTACAGGCGCCGTTGGTGCCGTCGGTGGTGGTGGCGGCGGCGGCGGTGCTGCGCCTGGTACGGCATCATCTTCCTCACTCCCGGGGCTGAGTCCCAACGGTCCGGTCCGGTCTATGGCGGTCTCCGGTGACGGCAGTGGCCGCGGCTTTTCACAGCCTCCTTCCCCCTCTCGTCATTCGGCTAACTCTGGTGCCGTACATGTGGGTCCCAGTACTCCTAGGCGGCCTTCCAGCTCCGGAACCATCGTGACAGCGGCGGGCGGTGGCGGCCGCAGTGGCGGTGGTGGCGGCGGTGGAGGAGAGGCGGAGAGCCTGGGTACCCGGCTTCCGGCGCTGAGGAGGTGAGTGGAGGGGCGGGGGAAACTGGGTGGGGGAGGGGGGAGAGTGTTGCTACTAGAAGGCACATGCTGGATGACTATACGTGTGTGCATATGTGTTTTGCTCGTACATGTTGCCGTGTCGGCCGATTGAAATGTCACAGTATGTTATGGCCAAGGTGTGCTGGACGGGGGTAAGGGGGATTAGGGCAGAGGAAATGTATGTGCGAACATGTGTGTGTATGGGGCGTTTATGCCATATTACCTACAAATCGCAAGCATTACACATGCTGCTTAAATCTGTTAAGTGTTTCGTTTTTGAACTTCCGCACATTCCGTACATTCAGGGAGTATGTGCCTTACTCCCTGGAGTATAATCCTTCCTGATCTTTTTAATAACGCTAAAAATGATAATATTTGTTTTTTTTGAAAATTCAAGTCGTTTTTCTTCTTATATGTGTGTGTGTTTAACTGCAGGACCGCAAGCACGGATAAACTCGGGGTTGCGGTTTCAAGTCCCGTCGCCAGTCGTACGACACCTGAGACCTCACCCACTGGTGCTGTTGCTACGGCTGCCCCGCTCTCACCAGAGGCATTATTTGTACGGCTGCTGGCAGAACTGCTACGCTGGCTTGAGGCGCCTCTGGTACGCGGGCATGTGTATGTATGTATGTTGTTACAGGGTGGTATAGCTTCACCAGCGGCCCCCTTTCCCTTGGAGGCAGTTCCCTGCTCTCCCCTGCTAGAGGGGCACCCTAATCCGTTCACCCCATCCGACTTCAGAGTGTATTCGTTGGGTTCAGAAACTCACCACCAGCATCCAACCAAATCTAGCGGATCAACGGCGCATCAACTTAGTTCCTGGTCAGCTCGCAAGTTGATATTATCACGTCTTACACCGTCCACAAGATGGGGGGCCACCTCCCATTTTAACACTCCTCAAACACCCGAGAAGTTGACAGGCGGAAATGAATCCGGACACTCCGGGAGCAGAAGTCAAGCCTTAACCTCTGCCAGCCGCCCGCCTTAACCTCTGCCAGCCGCCCGCCTATGTATGTATGTATGTATGTCTCCATGGTAGATCGAATTGTGATCAGTGCCAACGGAAACAGATGTCTAAGAAAATCGTGATCTGGATCCCGGTTCGTTTTCGCGATCTAGCCGAAGCCACACACTAAAGCACTGAAAGCCGGATGTGAAGCCCCGTCCCTAACCTAGCCCGTCCTGGTGACGTGTGTGGCTGCGGCAGCGCTGGCTGCGGTGGAGACCAGACCCGGCATTGGACATATAATAGATGATGGTGACCATATATACATACATACATACACTGCAGGCCGACGACACCTCCAGCTCGTCCTTCTGGACCTCCGACGGCTTCGGGACCTTCCGGAAGGGTTGTACGACAGCCGCAGCTGGCAGTGGTGGTGGTGGTGGTGGTGTGGGCGGTAGTGGTGGTTGTGGTGGTGGCTGGCAGTCCTGGCTGGCGGCTCAGAAAGTTCGTCTGGCCACCCAGTTCGCGCAGCTGGAGACAACGGTGGCTGCGGCGGCCCAGGTGGGCGGGGTGAAGGGGCGGGGGTGGGCGGGAGGTGCATATGGGGAAGGGGCGGGAGGGGCGGGTTCTAGTTTGGGTTTTAGGGTTTTGCTGAAGGGTGCATGTGACCTATCATAGGCAGGTAGCTGTCCGGACTACCACCGGGCAGGTCGTGTCTATCGCTGGGTGGGTGATGTTGCCCTCCCTGCAAAGATGTCAGCTGCGGGTAGCCCGCCTGTCCGCGGTGCGGGCCTTATATGCTGTTGGAAGCGAGGTGCATACACAGCTGCATGTTGCTTGTTGTACGTTGTGTCCACCTCCACCACCACCACCACCATCACCATGTAGACAGAGACACAGGGCGACAGATGTGCAGGGGAAAGGCAGGGAGGGAGGAGGGAGGGAGGGAGGGACACTCTTCCACTTAGCTTAACCCTAAAACCCTCCCCTCTATCTGTCTCCGCACGCTCGTGTGTGTGTGTCTCTAATTCACCGCACTCCCCCTTCCTCCCCCGCTTCCTTTCCCCCTCCCCCTCCTCACTCCCCTCCCTGGATGAACGGACCCTTCGTTGCTAACCTTCATGCGCCTGCTGTGCTGCGGTGGCCCACCATCGACACCACCACCACTACTGCTACTACTACTACTACTACTACTGCTACTGCTACTACGGCGAATGCCGTCACCATCCGAGCAACTGCAGAGTCCAACGTCCCGGAATCCAATTACGACCACCACCACCACAAACACCACCACCAACAGCAGCAGCAGGAGCCCGGCAAGGGCGGCGGTGGAGGAGGAGGTGAGCAGCAGTAGTGGACCGCACATCGGCAGTAGCCCCCACTACCAACACCTTCACCTTCCCAACCCCAATCAACATCACCACCAACACCAACAAATTCAACGGAGGACTTCGGATCCCGGCTCCAGAGTATTGGTGGTAACACAGAACCACCACCACCAGCACCACCCTATGCAGCACCAACAGCGGTCTCCACCTACACCACAACTACTGCTACAGCATAAGCTACAGCCTCATCATCAACAGCAGCAGCAGCCCCATCATCAGGTGCTACAGCTGGCGGGTAACAGTCCTAAGCGAAGGCTTGCTGCAAGTTGAGATGTCGGATGCATGCGGCGTCTCATGACGACATCATGTGACCCCTGCCGGGTCCGGGGGTGGGCCCCTCACCCGTCGCTGATGTTACAAGAAGGTGTGATGATACCCAAACAGACATGCTGGTGAGCTAGTGGTGGGGGGTATGTGGGAAGATGATTAATTAAACGTAATGATGAGCGGTGTGACAGGACGCGAGTAGTAGTGGTGGCAAGAGTGGTTGGATGGACTGCTGGCTATATTAGCCAAACAGCCTATGTACATATGTATACGGCATTGCGGGAATATTGATGTACTGATTTCCTGAAGTCGGATATAACATTTACACGGGGGGGGATAGATATGGCTGGGCCAGAGATGGATGTGCTGCCGGCTGCACATGTATGTCAACACGTGACCGTACCGTCGTGACGTGATGGAGGTCATCACAACATGGCGGCTGCGGTGCGCCTTAACAGCAGCAATCAACAGTACTGCAGCTGCGGTTAGCCTCTTCTTACGTCCCAATGTATGTATGTATGTTGTGCGAGACACACACACACACACACACATGCACGCACGCACACACAGTCTCCCTCATGCATAGGTACTCATCCACAAGCACATGCTATCGCATTATTACTCCGGACCCACCTCCGGACTCCTACCTGCCATCATCACGCACTCAAGCCGCAGATCGCTCCCCACTTGGCCTCAACCCACTTCACTCACTTCACTCACTTGAGTGGGTCCGCTTCACTTCACTACCCTTTGGTGAACACGGACGGACACATGAAGCATAGCATAGCATAGCATGCATCTCGTTGGTTGCAGTTAGTTGGATTGGTTGATGACCGTGCGTTACAAACCGTTATTATAAACCACAACCCTCCGTACATGGCAACTGCCACCGCTAATGACCTGGCTCCGTTGCTTCCAAGGGGATAGATCGACCCCTCCGCCCCTCCCTGTAGGGCCCGTAAGAATCGCCTGATTAGGATTTTTGCCAATATTGTCAAAATAATGGCTGTAGTGGTCTATCTGTATTGGATTTCGTTCGGGTCGTCCGAGTTGATATCCTTATGTAGGACTACCTGCCTATGGATGCTTATACATGCTGCTGGCAGCAGTGCGTGCGTGAGGGGGGAACTTCCAGCCAGATTTACAGGGGGGGATGCAAGGGGTGCGTGGCTATATCTTGTAAATGTATGATGTGTGAAACAGGGGGGTGTATCTTCGCCCGTGGCAGCTACCCTGCGAAACCCTGCCTTCCCCGGTATTTCGGGGCACCCTCATCCAGTCACCCTAGTCAACTTCTCAGTGGATCGCTCAGGTTCCGCACCCACCACCAACATCCAACGGAATCTGCCGGGTCGACAGCGGCCCAACTCCGTTCCTGGTCGGCTCGCAGGTTGACTTTATCCCAGGTCACCACCGTCCATCAACTAGGGGCGCAATGCCTTCCACCATCGGAAGGACTTTTGACCCTAACGGGTATCGATCCCGGGATCTCCCGGGGGCAATGGTCGCGCCTTACCAGTGGTGCCAAACCCTTATATAAATGTATGTATGGCCGCATACGTATGGAGGGAGTGAGAAGCAGCATACCTCCCTGTATGCCGCTCTACATGCATGCTTGTCAAGCTCGTACGCTATATCATGCGTTCTACATATGGGCCCATACATATGGCAGGCGGCTGGCAGAGGTTAAGGCCTGACTTCTGCTCCCGGCCGACCCGGGTGCAAATCCGCCTGCCGACTCCTCGGGTGTTTGAGGAGTGATGAAATGGGAGGTGGCCCCCCATCATATGGACGATGTAGGACGTGATAAAATCAACTTGCGAGCTGACCAGGAACTAAGTTGATGCTCCGTTGATTCCGAGTAGTGTTGCTTAATATTGTTGCATATGCTCGACCAAAGTTGTACTGCTTACTTGAAAAATTGTGAAATCGATCGGTTGGTTGCAATTGGGCGCTATCTCCGAGATGGCATAGAGCTAGCTAGGATTAATCCCTCTCTCGCACTCTCCACCTTTTCATATTATAATCCGGGGCAAAATAACAAACAAAGACTACCAACATTCATCGCCACCATCAGGCAAATGCATGGGTCACCTGGTACACATACATGTGGCCACTTACACACACACAGACACACACACACACACACACACATACAGACGGACATATGTGCACCCGCGGGTACACCTCTTGATTACCCTGAGCATTATATAATGTTCACTTGCTGCTTCATGACGACGCAACACACACATACATACATACATACATACATACATACATACATACATACATACATACATACATACATACATACATACATACATACATACATACATACATACATACATACATACATACATACATACATACAACGACACATTCTGGTGCTATTGAACACCAACACCCGCACATGTAAGTGTACGTGTACGTGTTCATACAGTATAGGTACATACTTACACACATGCATGTGTGCCGCTGCCATCATCACCAAGCTAACAGCCAACAACCAACCGGCCAACCAACGAACTCTCAAGCCACCCACATGCCGGGGTATCGGCTTCTTTCATGAACAGCTGGCGGACTCTAATTACCATCAGCAGCATGCCGTCGTCCTAGCATGGAAGTACGACATGGAATTTTCTTCTGCATATGGTGTCCTAAAGAAGCACTACTGCTTGGTGGGGTTGGCCTCTTATAATCCGGGTATAACCGGCCTCACTGTATGAGTGGGTGAATGAGCAAGTAGTGGTCCATTCGTTCCGGGCCGCCATACGGATGTATTGACATCCTCGTAACAGCAGCAGCGTATGAGAGTGAAAATACCGGTCTTGTTTTGGCCATTATCATTCTTATTATGTACGGCACACTAGCCGCACAACAGCGGGTTGTCGGGAGGGGGTCTACCTTCCCGGGACATGTCACCCAGCAGCAGTAGTGGCAGCATTGTATGAGTGAGTGATGAGGCCGCTATGGTGGATAAGCAAAGCACATAATAATAACAGCGGTGTGTTGGTGATGTACCCCTATTTGGGGTTCTGACGGTGGTAATGTGTAGCAGCCGGTACACAGTACGGTGCTATAAATACGCGCAGAGCGCGACCGCCAGCAACTCGAGAGACCTTTTCAGCGGTCAGCTGCTACATAATGGTGTGTTAGTTGAAAAACGTTTCGTTGCTGCTGTATGCATGTGCATATATATGTAGCCTAAGCTAACCGGCATTGTAATAGGGGGGTTAATCGTGTTAAAGTTTGGCCTGCTACCTGCCATGCTTGCGAAGTTTGCCCCGTGCATATAGTTGTTGGCTCCGACGCTGGTTCGAAGCCCTCTTCCGCACTTATCTGTTGTAAGACACAACCACAGAATGGTGGTATCGAAAGATACCGATTGAGACAAGTGGTGGGTTGAATAAATAACCGTTGTAGAATCCACTTGGGCCTTGCACCGATAAGTTCCCAGTACGACTGGGTGGTGTGATGTTCAGTTGACCGTAAGTCAACAGGAATTACTCTCACTCGGTGGAACAGACGAACTAGGGACGCAGGTCCAGCTTTGTACAGATAAAGCCCCTCCCCCATACGCAGGTATAGACTTCCGCAGCAGTGCGGCATTTCAACGACGAATTCAACCAGCAGTAGTCGCAAGCCGTAGGCTTACTAACATCAGTATTAGTTAGACCTGGATTCATAGTTAGCAAGTATAAATAGAGTTTGCTAGTTAATTACAAATTTTCTACGTTTTATACAACAGAGTTTAGATAAACCGAGCTGGACGAACTAACAACCGACAGTTAGTTAGGCTACGGAGCCGCAAGCTCTGCAGAAAGCCTACAGTATACAACATTATCCGATAATCTGTTGAGTTGGTATAAGAGATGATTGACCTGCTGTTTTCCTTGGTCTGGAATGCTAGTTGTACCTGGTTGTACAGTGAGTTTGAGGCTGAGCTGAGCTAAAACCCTAAAACCCTAATTGGTTGCGCTTGTAGCGCTCTGGCAATCCTTTCACATTTGGTCCAAATTGCCGTTATCAGGCTATGAGATGCTTTTGTAACATCCCTTAGTGTTGGAAATGCGCTATCTGTCTGTGAGAACATTGGCGTTTGCAGCTCGAGCCGATACTGTAATCACAACGGGTTTTGGGGTGTTATATAACAGGGGGTTTTTAGGGTCCATTACAGAATGAAGGGCCATCAAATGACCAAGGAAGTGTTATACCACGACTTCATAAAAGCCTGATCAGGGGCAGGAATGAGGACAGGATGAAAGGGATTTCCCGGAAAATGAAGGGAGGCCGGTTCCCAGGGTGTGTGCACCTCATCCATCCCACCACTCAAATCTCGTGCACATTGCTCCACCAGACTCCCACCAAGCCGTCATGCATCCGAAACAGTGGTATGACAAATCGTCAGCACCAAGGTCGGATACCAATGAAACAAGTGGCCTCACCTAGCACGCAATACTGGGTTGAATGTCAGTTGGCGGTAGGCATCTGACAAAGCATGCTACAGCAAGAAGGTTCTGGGCCTGGTGCAACTTTACTGGCAGAATTCCAGAAAGGGTGATGTATGAACTAAAAGATGCATATGACAGGCCTAGGGCAACGTACAGTTGCTGTTCAGCGATCTGCAAGGGTTTTGCATCAGCCGTCTCCAACAGCCAGGGCAGTTGTCACCAACACTTATACATCACTCGTAAGCTAATGCAGTTTCGTTTATGTTGCTGGGCTTTGGAGGCGAACAGAGCACGAAGGGGCAAGTACCATGTCCCCAGGGGGCAGCGGTTTTGCCACTGTTGATGTTGTTACAGGGTGGTTAAGCTACACCAGTGGCCTCCTTCCCGAGGCAGTTCCCTGCTCTCCCCTGCTAGAGGGGCACCCTAAGCCACTGTTGTGGTACTAATAGCCGAATTGAGGATGAAAAACACGTGTTATTGGAATGCCCAGCCTATAATGATATTCGTGCTGAAGAGGGATTCGATCATCAACAGAGCATGTTGGAGGCCATGCAATGGGAACCCGCACGTCTGGCAAGGATGTTGGAACGTATGTGGGCTCACCGAAACTCAATTACCCCCTTTGGACGCTAATCTGGGCTGATCTGCGGTGTTTTTCCTTTTCTCCGTGGCTTTTAGGCGTTGTAGTATTGCCCTTGGGCCTTCGGCTCGTATGGGTAGTCTTACAGGTATGGGGTCACGCACCCCCCAACCATGTAACACACACACATCACTCTGCCATCAAAGGACTCTGCCTCCTGCCATTCCTTCTGCAGCAGAGACCTGTACAGGACATAATTGTCACATGGTTTGGTCAACTTTGCGGTTGAAGGTCCTGGGTTTGATTCCTGAATAGAACCCCGCCATTGTCCGAAGCATGAAATCATGGCTAGCTGCTGAGATGTGGAGTCGATGTCACAGTTGGTGGATCGAGATTCGCACGGTGGATTGGTGGCGATTGCTGAACCCTCTCCTTTGGGTGACATGATGATGAGGGATTCTAGGAGGCAGAATCGACCGTCTTGGACCTGCAATTTGTATGGTCCCTACGACATAAAACGAGGGGTAACCCCCTTAAGCGTTACCCAGGGGTTAGGGGTAAGGGGAAGTGGTTACCCATGTGGGTTTGTACGAAGGGAGGTGGGTAACCTAACCCCGGGGTAGGGGTAACCCCTTATCGAGGGGGTAACAGGCGGTCGGGGTAATACGCTACCGGGGGGATAACAGACAGGGTAACCCATTTTTGGGCGGGGCCCCAGCGCGAAGCGCCCAGGGGGACCCCGACCTGTAGGATTGCCCATGTCCGTGTGTGTGTGTGTGTGTGTGTGTGTGTGTGTGTGTGTGTGTGTGTGTGTGTGTGTGTGTGTGTGTGTGTGTGTGTGTGTGTGTGTGTGTGTGTGTGTGTGTGTGTGTGTGTGTGTGTGTGTGTGTGTGTGTGTGTGTGTGTGTTCGTGTGTGTGTAATGGACCAAACATAATATCTCGCCCGGCTGAAACGCGTTATAGGTACTATACAGCATTCTCTATTGCAAGGTATCTCGCATGTAGCCAACAAAAATCGTATGAGCACAAACAAATTTGGCTGCCTCAATTGACCGAGGCCAAAGTCACATCAACGCCTCTCGCGCTAAATTTCATCCCGAAAGCTGCCGCGTATCTCATAATGGAATTCTGAGATGACGGCGTATGATAACTCAAACACCCAGCTTGTGTTACCATTTGCCGGCATGGGCAATCCTACTTGCCACCCGCAGGGCCAACATAATTTGCTTTCATTTCTCTATGAAAAACACAAGCTGCGTGTTTGTACATTTACTTTGGCCAATGCACGGGGCCTCCGAAGAGTTGCACTCTGCCGCTCTAACTTATCGGTTAATTATTAATCGATGGGTGTGCCACGGAATAGTCCCGAAATCGCTCGAAAATACATTCGTTACACAAACACTACCTCCCACCATGTTGACATACCCCATCAATTGTCACACTTGCCACCCTTGCTACCGGCCTGTACGGATGCAGAGGGGCCCCGCCCTTTTTCCGGCTTCCTTGAAGCCGACACCCAATCTTGTCACAACTGTGCCCCGTCCGAACCCGGAAGCTCCAGCGTAGTACAGAGTGGTAATGGTGGATAATGCTGTATGCTGTTCAATCCATTGGCCCCAGAAGCCTCCTCACTTTGTAACAACAAAGCACGCGGCACAAAATGAAATACAAACTACCGTATCGCTATGGCCGATTGGTGATTTCTGGATTGGTGAAAGTATAAAACGCTTCTAGAATTAATCTTTCCAACACCGGAATTGGTGATACGGTTTGGTGTTACCCCCTCCACTTTTTCCCATTGCCACCGAATTGGTGAAAGCGCACCCCAGACGCTCATCCACTGGCGCATCCTTGGGCAGCTTCGGTGCGAAGTCAAACATCGTGCGCTGCCTTCCTGCCATGATGCAACTCTTGCTGACCAAGTAATAATTTATTAATGTAATGACTATATAATGTAAAGTTTGGCAGGAAATATTGCTTTATGTGTGCTTTTCTGCGAGTTAGGCGGTCCGGCACCCGACCTGGATCCAAAACGTACAGGGATTGGTGATGGCCGCCGCTCAATCCCAGCCCGGATTATCCTTTGCTACTGGATTGGTGATTTTCACCAATCCGGTGTCACCAATCGGCCATAGCGATACGGTAATGAGTTCCTACTTGTGCACATAACCAGGCTTTCTCTCCCCTGCTGCCGTATGCCTGCTTGAATGCCAAGTCAACGATGCCAAGTCCAAACCGTGGTCTGTCACCTGCAAGCCCTGCCCCACGAAGTGGAGGAACGCGCACGTTACAGAACTACGCCGACACCGCGTGTGCACCTCACCGAGAAGTGCTCCGGAGCCGTGCCATCTGGGGTGCGGACCAAGGCCTCACCCAATCTCACCAAGCATGTATGATCCAAAGATACAGTCCTGAACAGTAGCCTAATAAACGATGGGTATTACTGCGTACACCCTGAAAGCCTTGCATAGTAGGCCATCTGCTTGACGTGTCTATTCCCTCAGGGCAACGTGAAGCGTCAAACGACATTTCCAATTACATTACACACTGCTGACAGGTTAACAAAATGACATCACCCAGTTTCGATCTGGGGACCTCCTGTGTGTAAGACAGATGTGATTCCACTACACCATGATGCCATATTTGAGATGCACAAAATTACAACACATATGCATATAACACATGTTAATAGATTACTATGCATCCGTGCAGCGGACCCCAGTCCTCCTCACTCCTGTAATGCTTCCTTCCTCTCTAGACAGGACTGCATGAATACGTCATCAAGGCCACAGCATATGTACAAGTGCTGTCAACGCATACAGGCCTTCATGTTCCGATCGCACGTGGCCTCCCCTGTCATTCACATCCACTGAGCTAAGGCACTTGCTGCAGCAAAAGCAACGAAACTACATTAAGTTAGTCTGCAGAACACTTGTACATATGCGTATTATGTGCGTGTGTGTTACATGGTTGGGGGTGCGTGACCCCATACCTGTAAAACTACCCATACGAGCCGAAGGCCCAAGGGCAATATCTATACACCTAAAAGCCACGGAGAACAGGAAACACCGCACATGAGCCCAGACTAGCGTCCAAAGGGGGTAACTGAGTTTCGGTAGCCCACATACGTTCCAACATCCTCGCCAGACGTACTGGTTCCCATTTCATGGATTCCAACATGCTCTGTTGATGATCGAATTCCTCTTCAGCACGAATATCATTATAGGCTGGGCATTCCAATAACACGTGTTTTCATCCTCGATTCGGCTATTAGTACCACAACAGCGGCAAAACCGTATTATGTGCGCAGTACACGTGTGTCGTAGGGGTTGATGGTGGGAGGGTGTGTTGTATCACGTCTTATCGCAGGAAAAGAACCGATCGGCGGATGTCAATCCCGTGATGCCCAGGACACTACAGGGTGGTGAGTTCGGCAAAGAGCTGTATGATGTCCATCCAAGGATGAGTGGAGGGGCTGACTTTCCAATTGCTTGTCCGAGTACGGCTTCAAGTTTCTTCACTGCGCGGACAAAATGTTACCAAGTTCAAATTCAAGTGGGAAGAGGAACTCATTCGTAATGGCTCTGCACAACTAGAGATGGAGGCCATTTTTGAGCTTATCTGGCCATCTTCTAAACGTCGTGCAGTGGGGAGGAAGGCAGGGGGCACATTTGGCGTGAAGGTATGGGGCAGGCAGTAAGGAGCTCTATGGCAGTTGCATGCCGCTTGCCGAGCGGACATCAGTGGCCTCATGTTGCTGCAGCCATGCGATAAGGTTGAGGCCGACGCCTATTTCCCTGACACTACCGCCATCAAGATCGTTATCGACAGGGTGTTGTCTGATGTGAGTCCAACTCAGCCGTGATGCAACTTGCGCCACCTGCTCCCTTGCGCAGGTCCAGTCGGCACTGGAGAAGGATGTGGGGGCTGATGTTGAGAACAGCACGCGTCTGCAAAGCATTAGGCACTTCGTTACTCGTGACGTGGCCGGAGTGCCTTACAGTGCAGGATACGTGCATTTACTGCTGCGAGACATGCGCCGCTAAACTGGAGAGGGCTCACAAGGGGAAGGTGAGGAGCATGATGGTGGTGGATGGGAACGGTTCATTTGGGAAGATTTCCTGGGGTTCCGTGGACTGTAAAAGCATCTACCCCATAGTTTGTGTAGGCGCCAAGAGCCTTATGGCTGCAATGTACGTGCATCTATGGCACAGATAGTCCCACACAGGTTGACATGGGCATTTAAGCTGGATAAGGGTCCAATAATCATCACTTCACTTTCACAGCCATGTGTACGTGTTCCAGCTGAGCTTGAGGAGGAGGCGGAGGGGGAGGGAGCGGGAGAGGAGGGCCCTGCAGCCGATGGCGTGAAGTCCGATGTCGGGCTGGTGCTGGACATCAACAGTGATGAGGAGGAGGTTGACAGCTAGCATGAGGCAGGGGCGGCTGGCACCGGTGGGGCAGGGGTGGGTCTATAGGGGCACCAGACTTTGCAGGTGATGGCGAGGACTGACATGGTAGTGGTGTGTGCAACTCTGATGGGACGAGAGGCGGCCGGGGGGGGAAACATTGCCCTGACCTCCTACTTCCATCATGTGTGAGTTTTTGTCACTGCATCAATGCTTGCATCAAACGACAGAGTCGAAATTGTGTCAATGGCCGGTTCTTAGGGCAAGACATTCGGGATGTGGTTGCACAGCTGACAAAGGGTGAGCAAGGTCACCTGTCCAATGATGACTACTTGGGGGCACTGGGGGAGGACGGCGATCAGGCTGTTGTGCGGATCGCATTGCTTGATGGAGCGCCTGCTCGAGATCAAAGGGAAGGGCCCAGGCTCACCCCGCGGGCAGCTGGCGACCCAAACGGCGACCCAAACGGCGAGCTGGTGCTGCGGTTGCCATGGCCCGCTGGCATAGGTTTGGCGGAGAAATCGCGTTACAGGGAACTAAGAAGTCCACAGGGTGTGGGACACCCACTCTACACCCACCCTTAGCAAAGCGGTATTGTACGGAGCACGCATGCCTGCAAGGAGCTTAAGGGAATATAACATGACACAGCAAGAGGGGAAGTTGTTCAAAGGTGGCAACGGTGTCCCAGCCTTTTGTTGTTGGTGGTGGTGCTGCTGACGGTGTCCTAGCAACTTGCTTTCTGGGTTCCTCTCTGTGTGTATGTAAGAGGGATCAGCTCCCCTGGCATCTCCCAACTGAGTACTCTTTGCCTGGTGTTACATTGGTGAGAATAGCTAGGAGGTGGGAACTCCCCGGATCGAATCCGGTTGCGAATATATCGCACACCAGGCATGATGTAGCATCCTCTTACCCCAAAGGTGGATGCTCGGGCGGGCGAGAAGTCTACCGGCTGAGTTAAAACCAAGTCCTCCAACTCGGACGGAGACTGACGAAATGTCAATAACACTCAAATTCACAATCCTACGGGATCTCAAACAACATAAATCCTACGGGATATGCCCGGGGGCGCCCGAGGACGTTCGCTCGAGAGGGGGGGAGGAATGTAAGAGGGATCGCTCCCCTGGCATCTCCCAACTGAGTACTCTTTGCCTGGTGTTACAGTGTACATGAGAAGACCAGCCTGCCGCATTACACATGGCATGGACCGTGACCCCAACCAGCGCAGGCAAACTCAGCATGCCTCTGCTGTCCGGATTGCCTGTGTCGAGCCCGGGGCAGACAGTGCTCTTGGAGGTACTGTAGTGCTAGACCAGGAAGGCACGCAAGTGTGATTTGTGGGCTTGGGGGGGGGAGCGGAGAGGTGCATGCATGCAGTCCTGGTCCCCTAATATGTGATCAGGGGCCTGAGCTGAGGGGTGAGCAAGCCGGTGACTGTTGTGTGCCGGCCTCCTAACCCTCACTCGCATCCGGCTTATTGTCCCCACCAACCCATGTTCAGGAGGAGGAGGTCCTCACGAGTTGCAAACAGCATGGGTGGCGCCTGCACCTGGATGGCGACGACCTTGCGGAGGTGGAGGACCGCGGAAGAAGGAATGAGGGTGGGCCGTGCCAGCGCAAGGTTGGCGCAAGGAAGATATATGCCGACGCTGTAGCTGCTATGGATGAGGCTGTCAGATTCCCGCCATGCAGCTCTGCCTTATGGCCGTGTCATCCAGCAAACTAAGACTATGGTAACACGCTGCATGCGTCGAGGGACAGACGAGACGAATAAATGCTGAGCCCAGATTATGGGGTGTGGGGTCCAAAAATGGTCCCCACAATGGTCCCCACCAAAAATGGTTTGGACCTGTGAGTTGCACCTTTGGAGGCGTCAGTGCCCCCTGCACCGTGCTACACGAATTCAGACGTGTATGTGTTTTCATTCGTTCTTCTGGATCTCTTTGGCCATCAACTCTTTGAGCGTCGTTGAGCTTCATCGTCAGATGTCTGCATGGTGGGGTGGGCGGTATGAACGGGCGTCATTGTGCTGAGCGCCCTTGTCAAGGGCGCTGTCATGGCTACCATCACCACAACCATTTAGCTAGCGGGATGTAGCGGTGTTCTTTTGCTCTTAGGAGTCCGAAAGGAGAACGAACGGAGGTCCTATGAGTCACAACAATGAGTTCTGTTTGCACCCCTGTTTACATGCGGTGGAAAGCATCCATGCCTGCAGTGTTATTGCTTGGGTTTTACGGGGGCTGCAGCAGATTATCCCGGATGGGGCTGGCACACGCCGGGCACTGTGGTTTTTCGTTTGTGTTGTTGTGTTACAGCGGGCTTCCCAATTCTACGAAATGAGAGTACAACAAGAGAGGACCATAACCTTGAGCTGCGGATAAGGACAGCGCAGGTACGTGCAACCGCTCCTGCAGTTAAATGCGACAGTCGTTAAAATGCCAGCCGGATACCAGCCCTAAAAATGCATGCATGCAACTCGCCCGTAATACCGTTTTGGTGGCCATTTTGACCATGCTGCTTGTTGCCTTTGTTGTCAGCGGCCTCGTGTCATGCTTCGATAACATACATCTTTCCCTTATTACCCTCGGTTTCCGAACGATCTGGGCTCCCTGATGCTGGTTCAAGTCGGAGCCCAGCATGTCCTCCCCGAGGCCGCGGACTGCGGCGCGCCGCAACTGCGCTGTTCACGGGTCGCGGTCCCAAGATGCAAGATTATTACGTTTGAAACAAAACACGGCACTTCACATTTGAGTGCCCGGAGCACCATTACCGGAGGGAGCATCTTTGGCGGCGGCAGCTTCAGGCTCCGGAGCTCATCGGAATGTGGAGGGTGCGGAGGTCACTAAGGAGTGCAGGTACTGTGGGAAGTCTGGGGCATGAAGAGTCTAGTTGTTTTAAGAGGCGAGATTGAGAGGGGAAGGGTGTCAAGCCCGTGATGGTTGCTTTGATGCCGGTTATGCGGGAGTCATGATTTGAACCGGGATACTGGAGTACCTGGTACACAGTAGTACTGTGCCGTAGAATGGCACACATATCATTCACAAATACGCGCGAAGCGCTCGACCAGCAGCTCGAAAGTCCTTTCCAGCACAGATACTTGGCACTTAAAAGGGTGCCTAAATGGAGATCTAACCGAAAAAAACTGCTACACGCCCTGTCCCGGTGACATCAGCAGAAGGCTTTTGCAATACGATGTGTGGGACAGAGGGACATATCTTCACCCATGGCCACTACCCGGCGAAACCCTGCCTTCCCCAGTATTTCTTGGCACCCTCATCTAGTCACCCTAATCAACTTCTCAGTGGATCGCTTAGGTTCTGCACCCACCACCGGCATCCAATGAAATCTGCCAGATTAGCGACGGCTCAACTCCATTCCTGGTCAGCTTGCAAGACAATTTTACCCCAGGCCACCACCGCCCGTCGATTAGGGGCACTTTATCTTCCACCATCGGAAGGATTTTGACTTTGTCAGGTCTTAATCCCGGAACCTCCGGGGGCAACGGTAGTGGTCTGGTGTTGTTGTGCGGCACCGCAACATGCCTCCCTCCGTGCGCTTTGGGAAATTGAACTATCCGGGTTGTGGAATGCCGTGTGCACCTTGCTTGGGCATTGAGGTAGCGCCTAGCAGGCCCATGCAGGGAAGTGATTTCTCTACTGATTTGTGTGGCATGGGTTTAATGTAATCCTTCCTGGCCAAACAATTGCACGGTGCGCTGTAGCTTTTGGAAGTTGGGTATTTCTTCAAAGCACTCTGACCTGTGAGTAGTGAAATTTCCTTGCACTGGTTCGCTTGGGAAGGTTGTGTTCTTTTTGCGGCGGCGGGCCTCACAAATCGATGGGCTGGCCCCACATACAGCAGGGGCCTGCGATGGAGTTCCAGCCGCTCCTAGCGCCTCCCAGCAGGAAAGAACTCGATCCCTTGGCATCACGGTACAAACCTTCTCGCATTCATTGTAACATTTCCCGTATTCTGGCACTGCGAAGCATAGGGACACTGCATATGCGCCGTTCATGTGCACGGTTTCGGAGACGTCGTAGGCTTTTGTCCTCGCGCGCTGTGTAAAATTAGCAGAAGCTCTGCTCAAATGCGATTGTACTAGCAACGCTTAATTCTGGATTTCTAGCGTCAGCTTTTGTGACAATTTAACGCATACAGCAAATAGCTGGTAGGTTCTAGAAGGCATTCGCCACAGTACCGTCGCCTTCAAATCAAGATGCAACATTCCATTAGCAAAAGTGTGGAGCTCCGACGGCGCTGCCCAGGGCCTTGTTCCACTAGCTACACGATTACGGTGGGGATGCCCTCCAAGGGACCTTTCAGGTCGGCCACTAGGCATGATTGCAAACAGTTTGTAATCCTTTGATGTCAAAATTATTTGCAGCGTTGTTCGGTACCACGTGTGGAACGGCCATGGAGAACTGTCACGAAAGCAAACATATACGACATGATGGACCGTCAGCTTGCAGACATGGAACGACAGTTTGAGACAATGCAGAAGCAGGTAGGCCGTGCTCTGAACACCGCACGGCTTTTGTTGACTTCAACCCTCACCATCCACCGGCACCTTCAATCCTGATTTTCGCCTCCAGATCGACCGGGACATTGATGCCGCGATGAGTAGGGCGAGGGAGGCCGAACGACAAGCGGATGCGGAGTTTCAGCGCGCCAAGAGCGGTAATAGCCAGCGGTCTTCTTTCTCCCAAGGTGTGTCAGCGTAGTCGTAGACGCGGTGAAGGGCCGGAAAATCTGTCCGTCACTGCCCCGACCAGCCTTTGGTCGGTATGCACACCGTTCGCCGTTTTGTTCGGGCGGAATCCCCCCTAATTCCCCATCCTGCACCCTTTGCTGTCCGTTCCCGCTCCGCCTGAAGATATGCGACCCTCACCCAACGTGGAAATACAGCGTCAAGAGGAAAGCGCACCAGGCATGTACCGGTACTATGAGCGCATCCAAATCAACAGCAGTGGCAGCTACAGGGGTTACATCAGCCAGCCGGCAGCTGCTGCGACGTCGGTAGTCAAACCGGTGTCGCCTTCCCTCAACCCCGCGTTAGTGGGCGCTCTGGTTGTGCTGGGCGGCTACGTGACCCTCACTGCGGCATTCAACCGCAATTACGCTCTTACCAACTACGCGGAAAGCAAGCGCTGGCTGCTGATGGCGTTGTGGCCTCTGTTGTTTCTGTTCTCCCCAAAGTTTAGGGAGCAGTTTGCAGCAGCGATTCGCGGAGAGAGGGTGGGGCTGAAGCGCGAAGGGACAAGGGAGGGGGACAGCAACGCTGGCAGCAGCGAATAGGCGTTATATGGCATATGGGGGCCCGAAAAGCGTTAAGATAGCTAACTCGGCCATCAGCATTAGATAGATAGGTACGCGAATAGATAGATACATTCACGCAACGTGGCGGGTGGTAGTAATTAAGGACGCTTTCATACAATGTACGTGGTGGAAAGGTGGTGGAAGTGTAGGCACTGGGATAGGCACTGGCAACTACGGGGATTGCCAACTACGGGGATTGACTGGATGATCGTATGTCGGACAGAGAAACGCCGTGAGAATACGGTCCAGAGTGGGTACAGCGGTGTGGGAGAGGATGTGTGTCCTGAGTCAGGGCCTCGGTAGGTTATTCAGAGGGTTTCGGGCACGACCGAAAGTTTTGGGTACCCTGGTGAAGAACCCTGGTCCTGAAGTTGAAGTAGTAGTGGGAAATAATGGCATGCAGGGTGTCGTGTCGGCCTGCAGGTATGCCAATTTTTCCTGCACATGAATGAAGTGAGGTGAGGGAGAAGAGTAAAATCTGTTTGTGCCAGCTCTGTTTGCTGTTGTTCCTGCTATAGATGATTTTTTTCCTACTTTGCACGGCATTGGGTTTGTTGTGGAAGGGCAAACCTTGGACATCACCCCTTATTGCACATCTTCCCTTTCACAGCTTTTGCTAGCGTCAATGCCACTCGTTCGGAAGATAATCCACGTAGGCAGAATTTATAAAAGTTGGCAGTTGTGGCATGCCAACTCCATAATCACACCTAACAGTCTACTGTTTGTTGCGCTTCCCATTTTAACGCCCGCTGGATACCACCCTAGGCGAAAGCCGATGATCCCAGACAACCCCAAAGAGGGAATCCGTTCAGAATGCCTCAGAAGCAGTGACATGTGGGGGCAGGAGGTCCATGTGAACGAAAGGCGGCGCTCTCTTGCATTACAACGTTCGCTCCATGTATGCTCCCAAGTAGAGCATCAGCTCGACACACGCACACCTTTCATTCCCACGACTTCCAAAGCAGCAAGCCCCACGATCAGTACGACTGTCCACCGCCACTTTACGTTCTCTGCATCTCGCAACCATAATACACACTCCTGCCGAGCAAATCGCATTCGGCGGGGCGCCCGCCGGCAGCCAGTATGCCCGCCAACGATGCATGCATAAAAAGCGCAAACATTCCTGCTCTGCACACATCAATTACACCGTTACAAAACTGACTCCAAAAACCGTGACCCAGTCGCAATAATACCGCGCCTTTGTCAGAACAGCAAGATCCCGATTACCATACTTGTTAATCAAACACTGGAAAACTGGTGTGCTTCAGGGTTTGATAGGCTGCACACACACCTGTTCCGCAGTCCCCGGCTGCCAGGTGGGTCGGCTTTGAGGGTTAAGAAGCCATAACCCGTCTTCGAACCCCACACCCGGGCATCGGGACATATGTGGACAGCCTTTCTGTGTTCTGCTGCACACAACGCCACAATACCAGGGCGCCATTGCGAAATGCACGCGACCAGTCGGATTAGTATGTGTCCCTAATTGCGCATTGGCATGTGCACCGGAAGTCAGCCAAGCCTTGATAAGCCATGATGCTCCCATCTACGGCGTCCCCTTATCCACCACACACCTTGAACCGTCTGCCCGAATGCTGGAGACAGGGGACCATCAAACTGGAGCTATCACAGGTAACTTCCAGATGCCAAGGCTAAATCGATGAATGACCCTTAAACAACACACGTAGCCAGACATGTATCTGCCGCCAGCAGAAAGGTGAGAGTCCGCTCTGTGCTGCTTACATGGGCAGTTGCGGACAAAAGAAGTTAAGTTGTGCAGCCGACATCGTCCCAATCCTGATCCCTCAACTGTTGCGAAAGCCCCTCATCCAGTAGCACCTTACATGCGGCCAATGCGGGACATTGTGAAATTTTGCATCAACATATAGACTCTGCAGCAGGGAGCCATGCGGCGGATTGAACGACAGTGGAACCGCACGGACAATCACATCCAACAGTGCTGCAAGGACTAGCTCTTGACGTGCTGGCGGCCTGGCTGGCGCAGCAGGCAAAGGATCCTGCTTGCATCTAGTCTGAACACAAAAGAGCCTCCATCCTGCACTTCCAAACGTCTTCATCAGACGTGCTCCACCGGGACAACTGTTCTAGCCTTATCTATTCGAGCACTACCTACTAAAACCACTCCTAAACCAACATACTACGTTTGCGTTAATTCCCAAATAATGCTTCCCCACCTGACTCCAAGATCCATAACCCAAACCAGCAGACACCAGCCATCATCCCAATCAGCAATATCGATGTGACCAAACCCAAACTCGGTAATAATATTAACACCACGAATGTATTCTCTTCCTGTGACTGCGCTCCTACCTCTGCGCCATGCAATGCCGCCTACATGCCACAAGACCAGCGGGACCACGTGTTCACATTGCCCCACCCGTACCGCTCCAGCTGCAAATCTCGCCAGGTGCCGAAGACCTTTCGAAGCCCACCACGGCTGCTGAAGTGCGCCATACCATGTGCCTTCGGCTTGCCCACTGTCCATGGCCGCAACCTCCGACCGGGTCGCTGCCGCTACCGCTGCGGCTGCTCAGCGCTGAATCGGCATTAAGCAAGGGATGACAATACAGTTCTCAGAATCCAAAGGACGTATAGTTTGTGAAATCGGCTATAGGTATACAATGGCGATCCCAGCCACGGGATCCCAGCCTAGATGAGCAATTGCTCCCAATCGCAGGCTTGATGTCGTCCCCGTATGGCTGGGGCACTCTCCAGCCAGAACGGCCACATTTTTACCAATGCAGGTCCGCACTCCCACTGCCCATGGATTCCTCCCCTGCTCAGCCCCCTCCTTCGGCCTGCAACCCTCTGCCTACCTGCACCTGTGTGCCAGTTTGCATCGCACCGCCGCCGCTGCTAGCCCCGGCCGCCTGCCCAAGAGCGGAGTTGTCCCATATTGGGCCCGCGCCGCAATAAAGCGAGTCCTTGAGGCATGGCACCATGCGGCGCAAACAATCAAAGTAGAAGGCCCGGTCCTTGGTGTTGTCGTACACCTTGGATACATCATCATACATCTCCAGGATGAACAGGAGGCAGCGGCGACCCAGCTGCGGCGCCGAAAACTGTTCACTGTACTCGAACGTAGACATGACGCTCTCCACCGTGAGGGACTGCGCGATAGAGTTCTCACACAGCCGCTTCAGGCCCTCCAGCAAATACTGATCTGAGGCCTGTAAAGGAATGGGAAACATTAGGGTTTTAGGAAACAAGAGAGGAAAGCACGAGGCGGGCGAGGGAGGCACACGAGCGGGGCGATCAGGGGATCAGTGAAGCATGAGCATGAAAATGAGCAAGCCGCAATGAAGGTTGGGCATGTACTTGTATGCAGGCAGATAGGATGCATGCGTTCACGGACGAGCTGGATGTTGTTTGGTGGTGTGGACGTGACACGTGCTCCGTGTGCACTGCCGAAACGACCACAACGCCGCAATACCGAGCGTGTATGAGGCATTTACTACGAGGTTTTGATTGTACCGCCTTTATATGCAGGCATAAGCTCCGATTATTTCAACCCAACACATAAATCCTCAAGTGCGCATTGTCCCGTTCTAACGCCTTCCTGCAAACCCCATCGCACACAGCCTCTCAGAGACACAGCTCCTCAAGATACATGACTCCCGCTCCAGACCACCGCGCCCCTAAACCCCCCCACACACATCAGCAGTATGCTGATGCAGCAACCGCTCCCACCTGCAACAGCTCAAAAGCGATGTCCGGAGTCACGTCGAGCTGCCCCGTATACACGAATCGCATCATCGCCTCAAACACGTGCCAAGAAATATTGGGGATGTCCACGCTGTCCGCGTCCTTCTCCTAAATAGGCGAAACGAGGGACGGCTGTCAAGATAAGCAGTTGCGGGCATAGCTGCGCGGCCGTTAATGGGGCTTTACATCAACATGGCTGCAGGCAGACGCTCGACGGAAATGGCTCAACAGCCCAAAGCGACGACAAGTGCAGTGCTTCTTTGCTCGCCGAACGGCTTATCCATACGGTGGATAAGACAAGGGCAATGACTTGCTAGCCGCAGGTACCGCTAGGTTCAACCGAAGTGGCCCACGGGACTCACCCGGACCGGTCGCCGCAACCTCCCGCCCAGGGAGGACGACCATGCCCCAAGAGAGGGAAAGGAGAAAAGACCCACCTCGCATTTCCTATTTAAGCGGCTAGCGTCATTGGAAAAGACTCAGTTCTCCCTCACCTCACCGCACCGCTTACCCTGTAACCCCCGCTGAACATGGCCCGGAAGGCCTCCGATGAGGCCAGCAATGCAATGCGGTGCGCGTAGAATTTGCGACCTTCCACATTGAAGGTGATGTCCGCCAGAGTAGGGTTGTTCACGTATTCGGAGCCCAGGTACACGGACCGTTCGGCGCGACCCGGCTGCTGCGGGAGCTGGTCCACTACTGGCGGGGCGTGAAGCGTAGTTGGAAGAGGACCGGGTGTCCGGGCAATGGAGGTAAGTAATCGACAGGCCATGCCGATAGGAGACCAGGTAGCAGCAATGTATACCGCTGTCGGCTCGATACCTGCAGGAACATATACTATGCAAATCTACGGGTAATCTATCGCCCTAAACGCATGCACGCTCAAGAAACGTTTTTAGCTTCTTAAATTTTTGGCGCCTAGTACAACGGCCATTAAGGAGTCTATGAATCCAAACGCGGGGCAAACGGGCTATTTCTGCACCCAACCGCTCTCCAACTCAGGCCCATTTGCCGTCACGCTCCTCACCAGGCAAATGCGCATCCAGCTTCTTCGTCAGCTGCAGGAGCGCCGCGGCCGCCTCCCGGTGTGAGCGGTGCGACACATTGGGGTCCATTAGCATGTCCAGCAGCACATCAATGCCCCGCTTATCAATGAAAATGGCCTGAGGGAGGGTGCATAAAGAATTCATGCCTCATACCTTTGGTCGCTGACTAAAAAGTGCTACGAGTATTGTAGGGTAGCCGCAACTCAATGCCATGTATGACGGCAGTTTAGGTTATGATCATGGTTTTCTAATGTCCGGCATGGCGACTGGCTCGTGCAGTTATGTCGTTGCCGTTGTGGTTTGGAGGGCATGGTAATGAGAATGGTATCCAATGGTAATCCCAATGGTAATGAGAATGAGTCCCATGTCAGCTCTCCCCTCACGGAAACGGTGTAGTGCTCTTGGCTCTTGCCTGTGTTCCTGCCTTAGATGGCCCTAAGATGCACACACCTTGAGCTGCTCATCCGGCGCCAGTCGTGCTAAGCTCATGGCTGCTCGCTGCTGCACCGTCTTTGTGTTTGATCGCAGCAGGAACACCATGGACTGCAGTGCCCGTTTGGCGGCCGCCAGGTTGGGTGCAGCAGTGTTGTCAGGGCGCAGCTTCTGCTCCAAACGGTTGATGGTCTTCTGAACGCAATCCTTGGAGGCCTGGGCGCGTAATAAAGGCATGACCGCGGGTGGCAGAGAGGAGAACATTTTATTATTATGACAAAATGCGAAAGGAACTTGAATACAGCTGTTGCCCCGAAAATAATGTGCAACCCGAAGCCCCGTCAGAGCTCGTGTGTATAAGGGTACCACCAGTTATGCAGCAAAAAACATTACTGGATGAAAAGATTGATTTACATCCGGCATGCTAGCTGGATAAACCTCCAAGGAGAGCAGAAAAGGGCGAAGGACGAAACCAGCTGCTCTGCATCCCTGGCCGTGTATATGTAAGTCCAACGAGTCTGGCACCTGGCGGGCCTAGGCCCCCAAATCACCTGTACTTGCAGCTTCTCCTTGCAGTCCTCTAGCCTCTGCAGGGCACCTTCGCGAATGAGGTCGGGGATGTTGTCCTCATTCTCCGCCAGACCATACAGCGCAAAGGCTGCGTTGTGCTGTAAGTTGTAGTGCTTCGACTCCAGCAGTTCCAGCAATGGCGGCAGCCCGCCGAGCTGCACAATGCCAGCCTGGATAAAATGCGGAAACCGGGCCTGAGCCACAAAATGAGCCTATGGTGGACGAAAAAACAAAGTTGTAACACTACACAGCGGCCACCACACAAGCGGGTTGGACGGCGCAGAAAGTAAACAGTTGTCAGACACATTAGAGCGGACATCTCGCTAAGCCCAAATTGCCTCAGAATCAGCTTATCCTAATACTAAGTGCCCCTTCTCTGCCCCATTGAGGACCGCTGCGAGGACCCATCACAGCAACAGTTCCAGTCAACACCAGTGCCAGTACGTCAAACGACCCGTCACGAGCGTTCTCGACCTCACCTGATTGTCAACGTTCTGAGCCAAGCGCCCGAGGGCGAAAGCCGCCATCTCCCTGAGGCTCACGTCCGGCATGCTCAGCATACGAACCAGCGCCGGCACCGCGCCACGCTGAACAATCTTCGCCTTAGTATCTGGATCAGCTGTGGCGAACTGTCCCAACAGCAGTGCCGACTCACGCTGGCTATCCGGGCAGTCTGAGTTCAGTAGATTGATCACCGGCTGCAAAGCGCCCTCCTCCAGCACCTGCGTGGGGACATGACCCACACCATGACACATACCACGTTGAGATATGATTCAGGTTTGGCTCCATGAAGAAAGATTAGCATGATGGCAGTGTGCAGCCTTTATGCAAGCGGGCGTATTACACCATCAAATGCGAAAGGCTACGGAACGCGGGGAAGTGGGTCGCGGTGATTTTATAATTCGCGTGACAAGTGCACGCTTGCTACTCTTACCCGAGGCCGCATCCAGCCCTGATAACTGTTCGGAGTCATTTGCCTTTCAATCAGGGACATAGCAGGGAGCCCAACCGAACGGACAGGTGTGCTCGAGCACGACTTGCGACTATGACCCACCCGTAGTTTGACGTGCTGAGAGGAGTGCACCAGATTTCCGATGACCCCCACAGCTTCGTAGTGAACGCCGCTGTCCTCCGACCTCAAAAGCTGGATAAGGGTGGGCAGGGCACCTTGCTCGACAATGACGTTCTTGTTCTGCTCATTCTTGAACGCCAGCGTGCGCAAGGCTCTGAGGAAGGGCGCGGAAACAGTGGACGCATTGACAGATACACGCCGGGACACAAAACCCACACGCCCAAGCGAGGCTATACGAGGGTTCGGGTGCTGTGCGTGCTTGATTCAAGGGGACCTGACAATCGTGCCCTAGAATCAGGGGGCACCACCACCAGGTTACCAGGGGGTTGAATAAACCCCCTGGTAACCCGCATATAAGGAGATTAGGTTGAGAGAAACCCTTCTAATCCCATAATGCACACGCATTCGCACACCCAAGAACCACTGACATACGCGCCACCTAACGGAGGTTGTGCCCCCGCCGCATACACGTACCCGCAGGCTGCTCGCTGGACCTTCACGTCCATAGCTTCCAGCAGCCCCACGAGGGGAGGAATACCATCCTGCTCACGAACCATGTTCTTAATTTCCACATTCTCGTGTGCCAGGTTTGTAATTGCGTCCGCAGCACGGCGCGCCACGCCACCACTGCCCGGCTGAGGTTTTGTAATGGAAGTCAGCTTGTGCTCTTTTAGAAGACGCACAAGACCAGTAAGCGCTCCGGACTGAGCGATGCGCGTTTGGTACTCGGGCTTCACCGCAAGCAGGCCGAGGATGAAACAAAGCTCCTTGTCAAGTTCCTCCTGCATGCTTGGGCCGGTAGCACCGAGGCCTTCGTCCAGCTGTTGGTCTCGCACACCGCCAGCGCCAGCGTTTAGCAACGGCACGACGACTTCAATGGCGCCCTCGAACACCACTTCATCGATATACTCATCCTGCTTACAAAGCTCCGCTAGCGAATGTGCCGCCTTCCGCAGAGAAGCCTTGTCAGGCGCATTGTAAGAGCTATTACTTAAGCCGCTGCGCAGTGTCTCGAGTAAGGTCCCTGCTGTCTGTCCCACGAGCATGACGCCTGCGCGTTTCTTTGATGCAACCTCCTCAAAGAACTCTTCTATGTTCCTCTTAAGCGACGAGCGGAAGGAGGAGCATGAATCCGACCCGGAGCTCATGGAGACATGCTTCCCTATCACGTGAAGGCCACACAAGCCACTGAACTACAGCGGTGTGTGTTGTGGAAGGAGGAAGCACCAGGTTTTGAAAGGAGTGCTGAAGTCAGGGCACAAGCCGCGAAAGGGTTCGTTCAAACTGGTAGGCCGTCGAGTCTTCGTCTTCTAAATTAAAGATATTGTCTAACTTTATACTGTTGGCATGAGGCAGGACAGAGCATACCATGGAAACCGGCAGGCAAATTTCAGCGCGAATGCATGGGTGTTACGACGGCTTGCCCATGCAGACGAATTGAAACGGCCATTGATATGTGAGTTCCAAATCGCAAACACATGAAACCTACCAAAAAAGCAAGCTTAAGGACTATATAGATGCGTGAAGGGTGGGTCGTTGTGCTCAGGTAGACCTCAACGTGCGACTGCAAGTCCGCGCAACGCAAGGGGAAGGCTCCAAAAGCGGTAATAGAACCGCTCAATTTACGGGCTGGCTTCAGCAACTCCGGGGCGAACTGTCGCCTGCCTCCTCAGGTACAAAAGTATTTAACCCTGCAAAACGTTGAGGAATTTTGTTACAAAAGATGTTGCTTAATGGCTTAGAATCGATTTGGACTGGAAAACCGATTACCGAGAGCCAATGTCCTCGATCGTGCCAAGAGCTCTGGTATGCCCGTCGGATATCTCTATTCGTCTACTCCTACAAAGGTGAAGTCCTACCGCAAGTGTTCAAAGTAATACAATCAAAACCATTGACTAACGTACCACGCCCGCTCACGACCCGCACACTCTCTCACCCGTTTACTTCCTGCTGCGCCCGGTATCTGTCGCGCTTCAAAACACGGTGCCAGGCGACCCAAATCTAGCGTACGCCGCGGCCTTTCTGAGGCAACCTTCTGCTGAAATGTTTTCGTTACAAGAGCAGAGAGGGTCAGTGCAGTTTTGAAACTTTGGAGTTGGACTTGCACACTTCGCCGTCAACCTAACTCCCCATGCATCACGAATTCAGCGCATGAACGGCCAGTGCGACTTCAATCTAATGTCCCCGGATCAGGCTTGGATAGGCCAGGGCGTGCCGTCCTGGCCTGGCTGGATCGGAAGGCCTAGGATGAGCCCTCGTTGTAGTGCGGTATCGACCCTCAAACCCCTTTCCCCCAGGGGCAAATGCCGCCAAGGGTCGAAGGTCTGCCGCGACACCCTGAGTTAGCGCACCCTCCCTAATACATCACTATTAGATTTAGGAAACTTACCGTGATATGAAACTTCCCAAATGATGACCTGCAACGCAATGACCCTGCCATCCACAGTCTTCATAGGCCTAAGGCTACTTGCTGAAGCAGCATCCTTGCTTGCATCACCGACATGAACAATGGGAGCGTCCAAAAGGCGGCAGCAGCAGGGGAAAGGAGCCCACTGGCAGCAGGGGTCAGGCCTACAAGGGTGGATCAGCCTTCCATAGCCTGGATCCAGCAGTAGACCAGCGCCTCTTTCACAGTCCGACAGCAGAGGCAGCGGCAGCAGCAAACCTGCCACACAACCTGGTGGGAATAACACCATGCCGTACATTTCAAGACGGATATTGTCGTGCAAACACTGTCGGACCATAAGCCAATAGTCATGTGCATGCTGCCCTGCCGAATAGAGAACAAGGGCCCTGAGAACTGACGAGTGCCTTCTCATCACACCACGACCTAGCAGCAAGCATGGCGGCACGGATCACAAGCCAGTGCACCACAGTCCTATCCGTGGAGGACAACCCAATGGGCCCTGCTCGCTTGGTGGTCTGCCTTTGAACGCCCGCTGAGCACCATGGCCCTTCAGCTCAACAAGGCGGCACAACACTGCAAGCCCAAATCAGGGGCCTGGTGTAGTAGCTGGTACACAGTACGGCTCTACAAATACGCGCTAAGCTCGACCACCAGCATCTCGAGAGGCCTTTTCAGCAGCCAGCTACTACACCTGGGCCCACATCCAGCTGGCAAGACAAGTGGTTGGTACAGATCCCATAGCACAGGAGCCATTTCAACAGCTGGTCAAAGTCCAGGCAACGCTTGCACGAGCACCCCATGAGGACTGCTGGAAGGATCATATCTCCTGCAGACCCTTCTTGTTCGTGGAAAACTGTTGTCGTGCACCATTCCAAGGCAGCTAACTGCCAACGGTCAGCAACCCAGTTAGGAGCCCACAACTTGGCATGCCCACTGTGTTGTAATCCGCTTCTTAAATCTGATCCCAAACTGATACATTTTCTGTCTAGTTTTTCCTTTCTCGCTTGGTGCGGTTGCTGGACAAGTTCACTGGAACTAACTGAATTCCAACTGCCTGTTTTGCCGCCTTTCTGTCAGATCTTATGGCTCCGACCTCTGGGTCAGACGGCGAGCGGGAAGCTGTCGTGGATGCCTACAAGTAGACGCCGCCTCAGGTGGAAGTCCATACTTGCAGAAGTATGGGCGGGGGTTCGTAGCACAGGCTACAACTGGGACGCTGGTCCCTGGCTCGTGGAGCCCCGTCATCGATTGGAAGCATGTATCAACGGTACGCCATTCCGGGACTGGACCGCGCCATTTCGGAACTGGCTGTACGATTCATGGGATGGCTGCATCCCCCGCTATTTAAGCGGACGAAACTCTTCCAATCGGTGTCTTCCGACACCACCATCCAGTTGTGGTTTGGTTAGGTATAACAAGTCTAGTATCGAGACGGTTCCTCCCGGGGCCTCTCTCATTCCTGAAGTTTTCAAGATCCTAATTTTGCTATCAAGATCCCGATTTCTACCGGCGCGTGGATGGAGGTCGACGACGTCACCGGACCGCTGGCTACAATAGTCGATGCCCAGCCGTACATACACCGGCCCCGGGACTCAAGCCCAAGCCCAACAAGTATACAATCTCGGTTGCCCCGAATCCAACGTCGCCCTTGTAAAAGAGTTAGCATTATTCGGCTCTAGCCGGCAGTAGTTCATCGCCACTACAGCGACAGCCATTACTTCTACTCGCTCTGGCGCCAATTCTACGTCTTCAAAAGTTTACCACCTACATTCTATTATTCATTATTGTACTGCGACTTGTCTTCAGTAAACTTCTGCATGTGGCTTCTTCAACGTGTTCTTCTCGCGGCTCAGGTCATTTGCTCACACACACCGATTCGGACAGCTGATTCATATTCGCAGCTGCCTTCCATCCGTGGAAGGCTGCAGCGGTGTGGGGCTGTCCCCGCAGCGGTTGGTACGGAGGGGTTGGGCTGGGGGCAGAGGGGTATGCTGGGAAGGGGATTGAGAGGCTGGATTTGTCGTTGATTCAATAATTACCCCCGACAGTGAAGTTAGATAGCGCCCGGCGGACGGGAATTGTCACTGAGCTGCGTCTTGCGTATGTAATCTATGCCTTCATGCTCAGTTTGGCTTGGCCAGATTAACTGTATTTCCATTTCTCACTGCTTTCAAATCATGCATTATGTAACTCATGTCGCCTTGCCTGGTTCACCAAGCTCCCCCTCCTTTCTCTTGGTGGTCCTGCGGGGTGAGACCCGGCCAACATAACTGTACAGTGCCGCTTACACCTCGCGCACATTCCTTGGCCCCCCCCGCGTGTACGGATGCATCGCGCTTGTGCACTCGTAACTTTTCTGGGATGGATGCACTAATCGAGTGGGTGTCATGTGCCATGTGCTTCCATGTCAGTGGACCCGGGAGGAGATCGAGTAGGTGCCGACGGGCGCACTGCTGTGTGGGTCCGTTACTAAAGAGCCTCGCTCGCGAGTCGTTTGTCATGGGCGGCATATGAGGGAGGAAGTGATACGATGGGGATACAGAGCGTGGCGCTGTGTCGTGTCGCCATTCATGAACCATTCAGACTCTCCAGTGGTGATGTTAAGCCAGTGGGACTCATTGAGACATGACTGTAATACTTGTTCTCGGAACCAGGTACAGAGGAAAGCCATCCCAATTGGGCCCAAAGTGACATGACATACAGCCTCCGGCAGCGAAAATGAACCCAGCGTGGGTTTAACGTTTCCACTGAAGCTGCATCCATAAATAGCATATGCTTTTACACAACCATGCCCTGTGGGTTGTACGTGTACACACCCATTACTCATAAAACCTGTGAAAGTTGTAGACAAGGAAACAGCAGTCATTCCCAAATAAATGTTACAAGGCAAAAGGTAAAAGTATCGTGTCTAACAGAGGAAGTTGTATTTGGTGGACGATGGCTGTCAACTGCAGCTTTCGGCAGTAAAGGACACGCAGTTCAGGCACCCGCGATTGAGAACGTATGTAATGCACGAAGTAAACGGTATGAAGTTGTGGTTAGCATCATAACGATTGTCAGACGAAGCGCCTCGAGCGTCCTCGAGTCTCTAGAAGGCTTTCCATAAGGCCCTTGAAGCGCCCCAGTGGTGCTCTTGCTCACCGACACCCAATTGTCCATTTCACATTGTAGAGCAGGCATACACTTATCTCTCGGTATTTTAGCTTGCTTCAATGGCGCAAACCCAGGTTGTCAAGGTGCGAAATCGCAGCACGAAATGTGGTAGCATGCGCGGCAGGGTAACGTTTCCAAATGCAACATGAACGCAGGGCACTCGTGGCCAGGTTGCGGGCCGTGCCTTCCAGTCGCGGCCTGCTCGCTCGGCGCGCCGCCTGGTAGGGAATTGTCAAATGATTTGAGACGGTTGCGGCTGACCGCAAGCCACCGCAGCCTTATCCCGGACTGCCGCTATCGGCCCTCCCGGAAAATTGCAGGTCATTCGTGCTGCTGAGGCTAAGGAGATTGTGTTCGACCAGGAGTCGCGCAGGAAGCTGCAAATCGGTATCAACAAAGTTGCTGATGCCGTCGGTGTCACTCTGGGCCCCCGCGGTAAGATGGTTTGAGCAATTGTTTGTTAGATTATCACAATTGGGTCATAATTGGAGTGTTAATTGTTCCCATTTGGCTCCAAGTATCTTGTCGTCGCGCCGCCAGGTTCCGCCTGGCCCACGTCCACACCCGTTCTAATGATCAAAATTAATTTTAATTATTCTATAGGTCGCAACGTGGTGCTGGAGCAAAAGTTTGGCGTGCCCCAGGTCATCAACGATGGTGTTTCCATTGCTCGCGCTATCGAGCTGAGGGACCCGGTTGAGAACGCTGGCGCTCAGCTGATCAAGGAGGTACGGGGGATTGGATACTGGAGGCCTCTGGGATGTATGATTAGCATGCATACTGGTTTACTATCGCAGGGGATGGACAGCCGTGTACCTAGAGTTGTGATAGCACATCGATCGCACTCCCCACTGGTCTCCACTTTCTCTTTCAACCCCCCGTGCTCTGCTTCACGCTGCTGGGCCTCGATCCCCCTCCCACTTCTTTCCACCTCCATGCTCACCAACCCATCTTGAGTTAACCCCGTGCACATGCTCGTCCAGGTGGCAGGTCGTACCAACGATGCTGCGGGCGATGGCACCACCACCGCCTCAGTTCTGGCCCGCGAGATGATCCACTTCGGTCTGCAGGTGTGCGGGTGGGGTTGAAGGGTGGGGGGAGGGCAGTAGCTGGGGGGTGGGGTCACGGTGTTTCGGATGCGAGGAGGTGGCACGAGGGACAGGTCACCTGGTGATTGGGGAATTCAAAAGTTGGTTGGGGGCTGAAGGATTGGGGGTTCAAAATGGGGGTTGGCGGGGAATTGGGAAAAGTACCGATATAGCAGTAAGGACAAGAAATGCAACTGCTGACGCCCAAAGTTGTGGTGTCTTAATGTGGCGGGGCCCCCAGCGGCGGCACGGGGTGGAGGGGGGTTACCCGGGGGGGGGGGGAGCGGCCGCCGCGGTGGCGGAAGGGCGCGAGGGTGTGGCCGGGGGGGTTCAGTGGTAGCGAATATCGAAAACAGGTGCACTTACCTCCCCTCAACTTTCCATCTTCACATCCACCGTCACAGCGATTTGACACACCACAGCTACCAGGACAGGGGCCCCCCCTCACAGTCGGATGTCATCGTTGTGTTGATGATTGTCCTGTTAAGCAGTAGCACACGGCATTGTTGACGCTGCCGGGGTGGTGCAACAGCTGCAGCAGCTGTAGCAGCGGCCACCCTGATGGGGCTGTAGCAGCGGTCGTTGAGGACAGGAGGCAGCGAACAGTTGTTGCCTTTGCCGTACATCTTCCTTCGATGGAGATGGATCCGAACCCAGAACGCGACGGGCAAACTTTGCTCGTACGGAGGCTACTGCTACTCCTGCTGCTGCCTGGAGATTCGGATGACCCAGTGTGCCATTTCCTGGGCTGCAGCAGCAGTAGTAGAAGTGGCAGCAGCAGCTATGTGGTCTGTGCGGGTTCAGATCCAGTCCATGTGGTTGGTCTGGCTCTGAGCTCTCGGGGATATTGCCCCTCTCTTCCCCCCTCCCACCCACCCCCGGCTCCAAGAGCCCGCGCTCCTACCGGGGGCAGATGACATCTCCCCCTTCAACGTGATTGCAACCCGACCATCACCACCATCGCCATCCACCAGCACCGCCACGGCTTATAATTACCAGCCACATCATCCTCGATTCCGTCGTCGGCACTGCCGCCCGT